ATTGATGTGAAATCTGTAGACAGTTTTTCGTGGCTTATTCACCAATTTCCACATATTTTTCCCAGTGACAGAGTATAATATGTATGTATTTATTATAGCGTCAAAATCATTCAATCACACTCTCTGCACGCAGCATTTTGATAAGAGAACTCTGAACACAGCTATGAAAAATGTATGACTTTCGAAGTTTTGGCGCACTTTCTTCGCTCCAAAAAGCATCTCAGCACTTGTCAATTTGTACGGTTATTTCTTGGTAATATTTCTTCAGCAAAAAGCATTATGACTCGAATTTTCAACACTTGAACGTTAAAAAAATGATCTTATATAATTGAGTAAAGTTAAAATCATTCCTTTCTCATCTTCACCAATTTTTTTTCACTATGACTGCTTCTTGATATTATAAAATAATATATCGCCAGAGCAAATACAATCAGGTGAAGAAGAGCAAAACTGCAATTTGTATTGTTTTCTCGTGCGATGGTGAAAGTTTTAGCTGAAAATTTTCCCAAGTGGAAGAAAATTATTGGCTTTTTACATTTTCAACAAATCCATTTTAATTGCCATCTTTTTGTGGCGTGTAATTATAACAGTTGGTAATTTAGAAGCTAAAATATTTTTCCGTGTAATCAACTTTGTTATCATTTTTCATGATTGTACACACGGTGGAAAATCGGGAGAGATAAGACAAGGTTTTTTTTCACTCCCCAAGCTTATCTCCTTCGTGACAGAAGTTATGATAATTATTACGAGATGACGAAGAAGCCAATTCACTTCGTTACTAATCAGATTGCAAAAGTTACAAACTTCTTTCCTTAATCATGGTCTTTCCTCTGAGAATAATTGAGTGAATTTACTTAACAAATTACTCTTCTGCTACTGACTTCAATCCTAAAAGCTCTTTCTGTCACTCCGATCAGGCTATGTCACTGTTCATAAGTTGTCTGATTTTCCTTTGTTGTGCTTTTACATGATTTCCTTATGAAATTGTTCTCTAAATCTTCGTTAAGTTTTTTTTACTGTTTGATAGAAATGGAGATCTTCAATGGAGCATTATAACATGTTGGAAATATGAACAACGTAATGAAGTTTCATGAGTGGAAGCTTTGCAGAGTTTGCAGTAGTACTGCGAACAACATTTCATTCATTCTCAAAAGAAGTAATCATGGAAACACATATTGGTTATTATTGTCAGCCTCAAGGCGGAATTTATCAGTTTGGGGTGAAGGGAAGAAAAGTATGTAGATCACTGGAATGCACAATGGGAATGCACTTGATGTGCCAAATGATTAGTCTCTCAAGGGAAGATAATGACGAAATATTGAAACAATCGATAGATGAATTAATTCACATCAAAGGATAATACTCTTTGTCACTTCCTGGAATCCATTTCTCTTGTCTGGACAATCATCCTCTCAGTCTCAACGACTACACATGTACCAACATAGTGAAACTAAATGCCTGTATGGTGAGTGTAAATGCAAAAGAACACTCCCAGTGCGAATTGAGTGTACAAAAATGCCAGACACGTGTCTCTTTCTGATGTCACCATTAATCTACCACGTGAATCGTGGAACATTTACCTATCTAGAGCTCCCACTCATACTTTTCATGCCGCGCAGAGGGTGGTTTTAGGCTAAAGGCAAACAATTCAACACTCTCCACGTGTTGAAAGACCATAGGGATTTGTGCTGAATTTGACACTAGAAAATTCACTTTTATGCCACAAATTAGTAAGATTTCCGTAATTGGCTTGTGTTGTAAGCAATATTGAATGTCGCGAAGTCTTGAATATTGGAAAGACAAATATACATACACACACACACATATGAGAGCGAGACTTTGCGAAGAAGCTGCAATTAAAAGTTTTTGATGATGAACCGTAATTTAATGTGTGAATATCAAATTAGAAAAAGCGTGTTTGCTAAGAGAAAGTTGATGAGGTTTTACCACCTGTCTTGTGAGTCTTCTTCCTTCAGTGGTGCTATGCGAAAAAAATGTATACACTATTGTTCTCAAATTGAAATGCGAAATTTTAATATTACAGACGTTTTAATACCACGGCGGCTCTGTCTTCGCTCACTCTCCAAATGTCACTTCTGTCACTTCGGTCCTTCTGGGCTTTGGTTGAATTTGCTTAAGTCTGTGATTGACTTTCTGAATAAAGGGCATACAATTGAACTTCTACCGAATGGATATCATGAGATACATACATTTTAAATGATGATTCTCTTGTCTATGGGGTCTATACGAGATTATCAATATTAAAATAGCCAGGGACACGTTAATCAGATCAATATTTGATGCAATGAATCCTTGTTTATTCAATTTGTTGTCTTTCATATTGCTTTGTCCTAAAGTCACTGTTGAAACTTTCATATCCCATCCAATCCTGATATCGTTGAGAAGCATTAAATCGATCCTGTCATATCCCAATGCGTCGAATGAATCAAATTGCTTACAGATATCTTTCAAGTCTGTAACTTTATTTTTCGTGTGATGCAGAAATAGATATGCTCTCCTCTTCTTCTTTGGGACAAAAGACAATCCTCTCAACTAAAAGAGAACCATTTTTCCTTAACAATGAAAAGTCTCTTGTTTGTCTTTTCCTTTGTGATGCACAGGAATATATGTATTTATCTTGGGAAATAGCCTTTATGGAGGAATGTTTTTTCGTCACTCCTAGAAATCAAATATGGAATTTTTAAGAGTTTTTATCTCTATAGAGATGTTGTAATGATGCATTCTTTCATGCTTTTCGATAGAACTTCTGTCAATTCGTTGTTCCCACACACAGATTCTTCAGGTGATGACGAATTGAAGAAGAATTGCCGTTTCGCTGGAAGGAAATTATTGGAATACTCAAAGAGAAGGCACAGACTGTGGTGGTTGAATTGCCACTCCACGAGTTTGTTTTTTTTTACAACACGTAAATGTAGATGTTTTACCGGTGAAAGAGTTCTCACAAACTAAGTTAAGGATTAAAAGATGTAAGAGAAAATTGCTTTTTGAAATGCTGCTCTAATTGATCTTATTTTTGCATTAAAACCACACCACACTGTTACTTCATCGTGGATCTCTTGTGGCCTTTGTCTCACTTGGACAATTTTCTTCACCAGATATATTCACTTGTCATCCGAAATATTCCCGTGGTTCTCCACAATTTACCATGAATAATTTTCTTTACAATCTTTTCTGTATGTTTCTCTTAAAGGAAGAGGGGAAAAATGTTGAATTCTTATGATTGTACTGTGAGAATCTCCCTTGGGTTTGCATTTCTTGTGGTCTATAAAAGATGGTTGAATTAATCAAAGTTGATTCAAAAGAAGAAAAATTTCATTTTATGATCCACCTAATAATTAAGAAACTCGTTCGTGGCGATCAATCTTAATGTCTAGTCATGACAATGCATGACTCTGTGTGTGTGTACATACATATGTATATATACATTAGCACATAAGCCAAAGGGAAAGTGATTTTGAAAAAATAGTACATAATGTTATCAGCGGATCTACAACAAAATCTTTTGACTTTACTAAATACATTACCCGACAGTTTTTCAATATTATTATTAGGTATTGTATTATCTCAATTGCCGGTGTGAGAAATACCGAAAGTTTCCCTGTTAATTTTTCCACTCACTTTTCCTTCTCTTGAGTGTGATCGTTAATTAAGAAGCATGCGATTTTATTTATCTTCGCGAGCGTCTCTTTAAGACTTACTAACAATAATAAATGAAAGAATCAGTTCATTTTTTCTCACTCCACAATGGAATTTTGCCATGAGAAATATGAGAACGGTCGTCATGGGTGACACTGAGGAAACCTGAGGAAATGTGGAAGTAATTGGTGAACAAATTGGTGCTGATGACAAAGAGTTTAATTGGGTCATGTCCTCCAGTTATACATATTTGTTAATATTTTTTGCTTGTTCTGCTTTTCTGGGTTATCAGGCGAAATGTATCGGTTGGGAAGCGAACAAGAGAAAGCGAAAGAAATGAAACTAGGAAATTCTGATTTACTCAACATACGTACAACTTTTTTTCTGCCCAATGTGAATTTACCAAAATTCTCACAATGAGACTTTACGTAGTTTCAGAATTAGAGGGAAAATTAATTACAACGGAGTACGATTGAAGATGCCTCGAATTTACAGTTCAGAGATTAAGAAAAATGATGAAGAGAAAATTTTTTGAGCTCATCAGCAAAGAAGCCCATTTCTTTTTATCCGTGACGTTTTGCGTTGTTTGGAAGATTCTCACCAGAGAAAATCATTTTTATGTTCCTGGTGAATTAATGATGTGGAAGTTTGAGTTGAAAAATCAATAAATACGATTTACACTTAGAAAAGTCGAGAGAGAGGTAAAAGTATATACGTTGTTTTGCAGAAAACAAAAGCATTCGGTAAAGTTTGGTGAAAACTTCTAATCACTCAAATTAAAATGCACTTGTTTGGATCTCAGACAATATTTGTTGTTGTTGCGATTGCTGCTAAATTCAGAGATTATTTTCTCAAAGCTTGAATTGAAGGATTTTTTTTTCGAATATCAGTTCATGCAGAATAATATTTTGTATTTATTATTATCTAGACATGTAGCTATAAAAAGGAATTTGCTCCCTGGTTGAAAAGTAACCCGACAAGAGAGACTTTCTTTATGATTAAAATATTCCCCTAACATTTTCAATATTTTATACATACGTATACATTTGTAAGGTGATGACTTTGCGAGACGATTTTCTATTTTAGAAAGCTTTCAATCACAAAGAGCTGGTTCAGTACTTTATATTCTATGTCAGCTTATGCTCTCGAGAACACTATTTCCACCCTCTCTTCTCATGGGGGAATTTTGAGATTCAGCCATAAGAGCGAAACTCTGCGGAAAGTAGCGCAAGCCATAGGTGTTGATCTATAAATATGAATGGGTGTGTTTGACTTTCCAGCAACTGACGTCGATTAATTTTCCCACACTGAGTAATTGTATATTATTTTCCTCATCTTTTCAGGGCTGTCACTGATCCACGAGATGGTCGTCGAGTGGCTCTCAAAAAGCTGCCGAATGTCTTTCAATCGTTGGTTTCATCGAAACGTGTTTTTCGGGAGCTCAAGATGCTGTGCTTCTTCAAGCATGAAAATGTAAGTCCTAGATTTTACGGGCAACCTCAATATTTAGGTGGGCATTTTTATTTTTGGGCCGACCATTATGCAATTTTTCTCAGTGCGATTAGTGTGTCTCGAGCAGCTGAAATTTTTCAGCTGATTGGGATTCCCAATTGGCATGCAAAACGGGAAATTGTCGTGTAGTAAATTTGCACGTTGTGACGTTAAACAGAAAAAATAGACTCGAAGTCATTTTGATATATTTAGAGAGCTAGAAAAATTTGTGGGTGAGCGAGTAAGAAAAGGTGAAAAGGCAGGTGATTGTCTTCCGCATTTTTTATTTACTCTTGCGTCTCTCTTGACACTGCTTTTTTATTTTTAGCATAGGGAATCCTCACATTTCTGCAATTTGATTGTGCCAACATAAAATTTCTTATTAATGCACCACCTATTCTCATATCTATGATTGAATTGACTTGGAAGTTGAATTAATCCATTTTTAGATCTCTGTCTAATGTGTAGTCGAAGAAGCGCCTTAAAACTATGCAAATGAAGATAAATTTTTTTAAGTGTTATAAAAACCATCAAAGAAATTTTTGTTCTTATATCTCACACGAAAGCTGAAATTCAAATAGATGTCTTAATAATTTGGAGAGATATACACACTCCTTTTCTATCATGCCAAAAGAGAAGAGATCATTTAAACATTTGTATTTGTCACTTGACTCACACACTTTGGCAGACTGGCGCTTTTTTCGTCTCTTCCTTTTACCAATTGATGAACTCTAGTGTGTGGTGTGTTGTAAAAGTGTTAAAAATAAAAATACATACATGTCATGAACCTGACCTACATAGTCAATTTTTGTTGTCTACCGAATGATTAACGCACTGCGTCGCGATTAAGGAGGTAAGATAATAATTTTGGTGGTGAGCGTAAGGCAATGTAGACTTTTCTTCATTTTTTGAGAGACTTTTCCCACCGTTGAGGCACAACTTTATGTAAATGAGAAAAACTGTAATCTTTCTTTCCTTTTCCGTTCGTATACATATACATAAGTACGTAAAATTCCATCTGGGCGAAGAGTGCGCTTGTCTACTTTGGCTAATACCCAATAATTTGTGTGAACTCTTTCATGGGTCATTAATCAACTCAATCGAAATGACCTCAAAATTGCAAGATTACAAATTGGCTATTGTGTCGCAGGAACGTGAAATAAGTTTTCCTTTTCGTCTGATATGATACTTTATGATACCCGCTCAAGAGAGACTTCCTTTCAGACGTCCGTGATGAATTTATGGCTTTTCCTTCACTTTTCGCTCACCACAGTTTACAATTAAAGTTTTTGGTTTCATCTCTTTGAAATTTGCATAGCTTCGAGGCAAACTGACTTATCGTCACAGGTTGTGGCGAGTGAAGTGAAATTTTCTGGGGTGTTTGGTTGTAAGGAAAAAGCACAATTTTCCACCATATTCTCAGTTGAATGCAGAGAAAAAGAGAGGCAACAGCAGTCTTGATATTTTATCAAGTGGCGTTCTGTCTTGTTAATCAAGTAATACTGCGAAGCGTCATGCACTGTGGAATTGAATGTTAAAATTGAAATTCCACGAGCGGGAAAAGTCGAACGAAATGGAAAAATATAACGGATTAAAGAGAAACACATTAGATAGTTTTGATAGAGAATTGATGATTCATTGAAAGGAAGACTGAGGGAAGAAAATTGAAAATAATCAATATCGAAATGGAAATGATATCTGATTGATTTGACTGATTGAATTATTGGTAGATTCTGTGCTGTTAATTCGAAAATATTGTAGAAATTCTGTGACTCTTTTGAGCTCAGGCATTTCTTTGTCATTGTCTTGAGATTCTTCTTCACGACACTGTAGAGATAGGCATTCAATTGATTTGTCTGACTCTTATTCTTTCATATCATAATTAAAATTCAGAGTAAATTCTTAGTGCAATCTCTGAAAGACCACGCGCAGATAAAGTTATAATACATATTGATGCTCGACATTTATGGTCAACTCGTGATATATTGATTTCTTTTGCGACTACAAAAGGGATCTATAGTTCAACCCTGTTTTTTTTAACGATTAATATCGTGTGTATCTTCAAAATACCTTGACGTCTAAGAGTGAAAAAATAAAATACCCCATTAATCTTTCACACTATATTAATTTTTCATGTCGAAAATATTGTATTACCTTCTGGATTAATAATTTACAAATAAATTCTGTGTCCGTATCGATTTTTCAATGTTTTCCAGTAAAGAATTTTGAACAAACTTCTTCACTATTTTGTGTTTTTTTTTCTTCGGTTAATGCGTGAAATGGATTAATTTCTCCGAGAGAAGGTGTTCCAATATAAAATTCCCCACGATTAAAACGAAATTAGATTTGTACGAGTGTAATTCATTTTCGACGTCGCACACCACCTGTGGAAGTGGATGGAATTGAAAAAATTGCTGTCGTGGAGAATTAACAAGGTTATGGTGGTTAAATGAGATTAAAAATTTTTTGATTTTCTAATCTTTTCAAGGGCAATTTCCTTAAAAAGTTGCTCTGAAATGACAGGAAACCTTTGTTTAACAAAATACATAAACACTTTTTGAGATTTTCCTCAAGAATGGATTTAATAAAAGTTGATGAGAAATCGCTCTGCTTTTATGTCCTTTTCATCGAGCCTTCGTGGAAATATTAGGAGGGTAAAATCGATATAACAAGAGAGGATATCTCTCAAAAGATGCAGGATTAAAAATAGTTGCCTTTTACCTTGAAGATTTCTAGAATATGTAATTTACTTGATCTGAATGATGATGAGAAATGTTTGAAATTTGTATCTTTACAAAGATACATAATATAAGTATTACATGCATATAATAAGTATTTTCAGGTTATGAAGATGAATTAATAGTATTAAGGTACAGAACTTTAGAAATTGTCGGTGTTTTGTCTCCATATCAGAGAGTTCCTCAAGCTTTTGACATGGTAATCTTCCCTCATTCAAGTGTTGCTTTTGCCTTCAACGATCCCCCAAAAAGTCCCATGAATGGGGCTTTTGTACGTGCGAAGTGCGTGGCTGAAAACTTTCAATGTGACCTGGAAAAAAAATCATTAGAGCTTCTTTCGGTGCTTAAACATTGGCCTCGCCTTCCGTGAAATCACTTCTCTTTGTGTCTCAATTGACATCTTTTCAAGCATTTTCCCAGCGATTTTTTGGGTTAGTCTATAGAGAAGGTTTTATATGGGAAATTGTGCGCTAATTTCTCATCTGTGCAATTCATTACTGTATCATCTAGACTCTAGAGAGAGAGTGTTCAATGGTGTTCACGATCTGCACAAATTGACCAACAAATTTGTTTTAACGGATAAAGAAATCCCACATTGTTGTGGCCAGATGATATAAATTCCACGCGAGATTGCAATTGCGTGCCGTTTTTGGAGCAACAAAGCACAATTGCAGCCTAATTGAGATTATACATATATTTTCACTAACTCTGTCCTTTTCTCTCTTTGCAGGTTCTCTCGGCCCTGGACATTTTGCAACCACCTCATTTGGATTTTTTCCAAGAAATGTATCCTTTTACTTGTGATATCTAAAATTCTCATTTTCATAGAAGGGATGATATATTTCTGTGTATACTAGAGAGTTCGAAAGATATTTTATATTGCCAAAAGAAGTATAGAGTATCCGTTTTTGATAAGGTGTGCGAAATACTGTGTGAAGTGTTTACTAAAATTTATTCAAATTAGGCAAATTATCAAGAAGAAACACTTCTTTACACTTTGAAAATAATACTTAATTGCGACATTGTCTTTCTTATATCAAGACATGCTATAATTGCAGCATATCGTTGATCGTTGTGTCAGAAATAGACTAAATATTTCTAAGTTCGATAGCCTTTGAGAGGTTCACCCTCACTGATTGAATTCATTGTAGAAAGATATACTTTCCCCACTGATTTCGTTTCTTCGTTGACTTTCCGCTCAGATTGAAAAGCCCATGTCTCACCGCATATTTCTCATTTCCCGCGCGCCCTTGCGAAAATTTTCACCATGAAGTAATCTTCCCTCGAGGTTTTCTCGCCTATATAGCAGTCTCAGAGCCTTTCTCTCCGGCCAAGCGGACGACGTATGTTTGTATGTGTTAGTGTGTGGGAAGAGAAGGAAAAGCATGAAATGTTGAAGATAAAATTTTCCACTTCATCAAGTGTTGTGTGGGTGTGGCTCGATTTTTTTTACCCGGTTTCCTCCTTGAGATTTCTGCGAACGTCTCCAGACACCTCTGGCCTTTTCTCGGGCTCTTTTCCTTTGGAATATCATCACGGTAAATTCACAGAATTTTATCCAGCTTCCACCGTTCGGTATTCTTTGTTGTAGCAAGACTTTTCGTGGGTGTACAAATCGTGGGTTTTAGCATTTGGTGACTCACGGAAATTCTATGGGAAATATCTACTGGATTCCCTATAAGATTTTGTGTAGGAACAAGGACAATGTAATGAAGAGATGCCATTCGTCGGGAGAATTGATTGGTGCCGCTATGGGTGGAAATCCTTCGGTAGCGACGACGTCGTCGCCGTTGTTCATTTTCTCTCACACTGAGAGACTTGCTCCTTGCCAAGGTGGGGAAAACTTGGAGGCGGGTAAGTTCTAACATGTGAACTGTAAAGTTTTACTTCATAGTTTAATGTGTGATGGATAATAAAAATAATGGACACGAGCGGGACTTTCGCAAGGGTAGAGTGAAATAAATGTATTATCTCCTCGACTACACAGAGTCTCAGTATTTGATCACCCCCTCATGACTTTCTGGGGAATCCACTGAATTTATTGCTGGAGAATGGGGCAAATGTTACCGCAACAAAAGGAATTCCTCTCCAACGGCATAGGATTAAAATTGTGACTATATTTGCATTGAATTATCCCTTAAGCTAAATTAATTGTAAAGCCGCGTTTTTTTTGTCTGAGCGGAAATGATAATTAATGTGTCTTTGGCCATTGTCTTTCCTCATAATTGTCTATTTTCCTTAACTATGGGCAATGCTATATCATCATGCTTACAGTTATGTGATAACCGAACTTCTGCAGTCTGACCTCCACAAGATCATTGTGTCGCCTCAACATCTTTCCGCGGATCACATAAAGGTGTTCCTGTACCAAATTCTGCGTGGACTCAAGTATCTCCACTCGGCGCGCATTCTGCATCGCGACATCAAGCCGGGCAATTTGCTGGTGAACAGCAACTGCGTCCTTAAGATCTGTGACTTTGGGCTGGCGCGCGTCGAGGAGCCAGATCAGAGCAAGCACATGACACAGGAAGTCGTCACGCAGTACTATCGTGCACCGGAAATCCTCATGGGGGCGCGTCACTACTCAGCTGCCGTGGACGTTTGGTCGGTGGGATGTATCTTTGGCGAGTTACTGGGCCGCCGGATTCTGTTTCAGGCCCAAAGTCCAGTTCAACAGGTGAGGATTTGGTTTCCTTCAGTTGGAGGGCAATTTATTATGTACTGGAAGTTTATATAGTATCTTTGTATAGTACCTGCTTTACCAGTTACTCATTTTTTTCCTTCTGTAATTATTTATAGGATTGACTGTAAGTCTTCCCTTTATCTCAGAATAAAATCGATAAATGTAAAAGTAATCAAGTGCTGAAATTTGAAGCTTATCTTCTTCGGAAGAAAATAAATTCTTGCATTTTTTATCCTAAAGCCCATGTAAGATTTTGCTTGCCTTGTGAAATACAAATTTCACAGTATTGATATTTGCGCTTGAGATTATTTCGGGAGAAGTGTTCCTTGGCAGGGCATACTCTACAAATCTGTGGGTTTTTTTGCAGCTCGAGCTGATTACAGAACTGCTCGGAACACCATCAATGGAGGATATGCGACATGCGTGCGAGGGTGCTCGATGTCATATGTTGCGAAGGGCGGCGAAACCACCCACTCTGTCGGCACTGTACAGACTCAGTACGCACGCGACCCACGAGGCTGTTCATCTACTATGTCAGATGTTGGTCTTTGATCCGGTAAGTAGCTCTATCGCGGGTGCTTATCTGCCAATTAGGGCGGACAAATGACAATGTCTTTTCCCTTCACGCGCACACAGGACAAGAGGATATCAGTGATTGACGCCCTGGCGCATCCCTATTTGGACGAGGGTCGCTTGCGGTATCATTCGTGCATGTGCAAATGCTGCTTCACAACTTCAGCCGGAATGCGACAGTACATCGTGGATTTTGAGCCGTCGGCAGCGCAGCCCTTTGATGATCTCTGGGAGAGGAAACTCACGTCAGTGCAACAGGTGAAAGGTAAGCCTCGTGTATTACGTATGATCTCATAGGTGATTTACTTACTGTTCTCTGTATGTCTTCTTGTAGAGGAAATGCACAAGTTTATAGCGGAGCAACTTCAGACCGGACGAGTTCCGCTCTGCATAAATCCTCAGAGTGCGGCGTTCAAGAGTTTCGCCAGGTAAGGGCGCACAAATTGACGTTGACAACTGTACTTTGCGGGGGTGTTATTTTTTGTTCTTGCGAGTGAGGAAAAAAGTAAAAAAGCAGTGAATAATGGGGAGTTAAGAGAACTGTGGGTGTCTGGATAGATGATTTGCTGTAGAGTTTTGTCTTTCTTTCCTACAATTTGAGTTATTTTATTATTGAATAGTTGAATTAAGAGATTTTGCGAATGAGTTTCATATGAGGTTTGCTTTTAAAAGGTTTATGTTATATTCTGTATGTTCTGGAAAAAATCAAAAGTAAAACTAAACCTGCAGATAAAATGCCTAAAACTAGAGGAGAAAGAAAACAATCTTCCACTACTAAAGAAGCAAACAAAAAATATTTGACTACTTCAGTACTGCAGAACTTGATCAACAGCAGCTACTGCAGCTTCAGCAGCATCAACAGCAACAGCCTAGCCATCAATTCAACCAACTCAACTAGTATCGACCCTCCCGATATCAACATATCTCCAATCATCAACTCAATGTTCTCATCTCCAGGCGCCTAGGTGTGTCCCCCTCAAAATAAGGCCATTCTCTGATTGATCAGTTACTTTCATATGTCCTCAGACATCAAGCATAATAGACTTTATGTGACTACCACAGAACATCTCCCGAACAATTTGCGACTCTATTTTGGACTCTATAGAATATGAATGATACAATGGTCATTGCACAGCCTCTTTCGTGTTTTGTTTAGTCAGAATAGAGTTGCTTCTTCCTTAGACAAACAAGAAACAGAATCAATTCATTTTTTTCGTTTTCTGTCAATAATCCAAATTCACATTCATTGATATTGCTTATGATAATGATTTCCTCTCTTCCCTTAACTAATTTGCGTTTGTTTGTTTCAATGCATAATTTAAACTAAAAAAAATGACAATTTCCGCAAATAGTCTCATTACATATTGTTGTCTAATTTGTTTTATCATGACCTTCATTGCCATAGTCTTAGGTTGTTAAAAAATCTTTAAAAATTCCATCTTCCACTGTTGTATTGGGAAAGTAAGAGCTGCTTATTCATATGTTTAGTGGATACTTTTTAAATTTATTGAGCTTTATTGGTGTTAAAAGTCATTATTTTTCCCCCTCAAAGAAAAGAGACATACAAAGTATAGACAATGAATATCATATGACAAAACGAGGAAATTGCTATTAGAAGTTAAACAAAATGTCATTCAACTAACAAAAAGCAGGGGTTTTTAATATGTTATTCTTCTGTATGTTCTTGGTTTTTTTAGCTCAACAACTTTATTTGTATATAAATGAAAACGTAATCAATGAAATTAACCCCTAAATTTATATTTGTGCAGTTCGGCACAATGTTTTTCTTAATTGTCTACATGTTTCTTTCCTACCTAGACTTTTTTCTGTACAGGACAAGTCAAAAACCATTTCAGATAAACATTATTACAAAGAAGTCAAATTCAAATATTAGAAAAATGTTTTTTGTGCAGTAATACACTTTCGGTTTTTATTAACCAACCCCAATTTTTTTCAGTTTGGCCTATTTTAATACCTTTGTTTCAAAAGTTTTTTCCAATCTGTATTTTTTTTATTTATATTTTTTTGTCAAAATGAGATCAAAAAGGACAATCTAGGTGCAAATTTCCACAAAATCCTTTTTCCTCTGCCTTTTCTACACTCACTCTTCTAGTTTGCATAAAAACCAGAAAACAGATATTTGAAAATGATGATATGTTTACTTACTAAACAGATAAAATATATTTTTTGCTGGTATAAAAAGAAAATTATGATAAAATTGCAATTGAAAGTAGTTTGAGATTGTTTTTGAAAGAAAAAGGAAGAAAAATATAAGGATAAAAGAATTTTTGCATGATGTTTTCTCTTGCAATGCATGCGCATTAAAGCATTTTTATCCTTTAAAAGGGGTGTGATTTGTTTATGCTTCATTTCCCACTGTATTTCTAATTGATATCTCATCATAAATTATCTTTATATGTGAGAATTTTTTTCTAATTTACTTTTTTGCGCTGTTTCAGTTCTACTGTGGCTCATCCTTCAGAATTACCACCGTCTCCTCATCAATGGGAATGACATCACAATGAAGCGGTTGCTGCCTAAAATTCTCCCAATGTGACAAGTCTTCGTCTGAATTCCACAGGACACGTGAGACCACAATCCTTCTGTTCTACTCTCATCCTCCACACATGTTTTAGTCGATTTTCTATGTGCCCTTTTTACTGATATGAATATAAAATGACGAGGCAGAGAGTCAAAATGAAATGCTGAATTGCCGTGTGGTTTCATCACATAAATCCATAATATTATTGATAATGATTCTTCAATTGATATGCGTGTGCATCATATTTGAAAAGTGGTTAATACACTTTGGCAGCATTATTGATTTTCCCTTCTCACACAATTATTATTTCATCTGCCAATTTACCGAAAAGCAATGGACGCGTTTCAGCGAGAGTATAATTCTGTATAAAATTGTGATATATTTGATGAGAAGATGTTGACAGCAATTCTCTCACGCGCAGTGGTTTTATGTGTATGAAGTCACAATGCAGCGAAAAAAATTGGCTAAACTTGCATTGTACGCATTTGATAAAGTGACCAAAAAAGTGTAATGCCTCGATGTAGTGTAATTTCAAAATTTTTTTTTTACAATTAGTCGACAAAATAGGGTTTTTTGTCCTCTGCGCACCATTTATTATTGACATGAAATTATGATGAAAATATTGATAATCTGTATCTTGTAATTTATCAATCAGCAAAACATAAACGTAATATATTATGGCTAGACGATTGAGAGAATGGGCATTATACAGAAAACATTAATAAATACCACTTGGAATATCACATGTGAAGTGAAAATAGATTTTCATATTAAAAGACACTGCCTAATTGTTAGACCTCAGACAAAAATGGATGGATAAATAAATACCAGAATTCCAGCGTATAAAATCAAATAGAGAGCCAAGTGCGAGATATTTTCCCCATGATTTTCCAGAGAACTGAAAATTGAGAAGTGAAGCTAGAGAAGAGAGAAGAAAATCAATATTATAACGAGAAAAGAGTAATATTAGTGCATAATGTAATGTTTATCTTATATCTTGTACCTAATAATAGCGTGTCTTAATAATTAATTTAGTAAAAAAAGAAGAACAAGATAATGGATAGAAAAATGTTGAGAGATTTTCTCAGGGATGCAAAAGTGTGCTGGTAAAGTGAAATTCAATTTCCTCGCAAATTTTCGCATCCCAAGCTTTGCGCGCACCACAATCAATTGAATTCCTTGAAGGCTTTCATTGAAAGTTAGGCGAAAAGAGGCATTTTTCCCATATGGTAAACGTTACTCTCTGTGTTATGTGAAATTTTGGAGAATCCACTCAGGCGGGTCCTGCACGATGTTTTGGTGTTCTATTTAGTAGAAGAAAAAAGCTCCAGGATTTAAAAAAAAAGAAGAAAATGTAAAATGACTGATTAATTGTTAATCAATTTTGCGTTCACAAAACGATGAGAAGCATAATGAGACGAAAAGAGTAGGATGACAAAAAAAAACACTAGAATGTGGGTGAAACAATAAAAAAACGAAAAAGAACTGATAAGTTTAGAGACATTTAATTAAACAAAGAGAAAAGAGAAGAAGAAATTGATGAGAAATAAGGAGAGTTGAGTTGAAAAGAGAACGAAGAATATTTTTTAGACATGTAGAATTGATGAATAGACTAGAGATGCAAAAACCTTGTAAATAAGTAGGGTCCACAATTTTAGTTCTTTTCTCCCATTTTTGTAGTGTCCTTTTTTGATTGGAGAAACACAGATATTCTCAGCGTTTCTCACCTTAGTTTAAATATACTTTTTCACGCTTTGTAACAACAATACACGAATGATGTCGATGTTCATCGCGGAATTTGTCAAATCTTTCATAAAGATCTCACTTGAATAAACTTAAGGAATCAACAGGACTGCTTCTAAAACTTATTCGGTAGTTCATTTGTATGCTGTAATTCTTAGTTTCAATGTGTGAATTCACAATTGTGACTTCATTCTTGGATTCCGTTTCAAAGACACACCTTTCTCTATAAATAATAACTAATGCTTTTCCATTGATTCATCCATGGTGTTCATTGGTGGGAAATAATTTTGTATAAAAATTTCATTTTCAATTGATAATAATTTATTTTTCAATATTCCTTATTGTTTAAATTAAATTCAATGCTAGTCTTTGATTTTCCTTTGAACTTGATAAATATACTTTTTGACTTACACATTGTACAAACTCTTCAGGTTATTCTAATCATATGTTTCAAATTCCTCGATTATTTCCCGCCAAATCACCAGTTGGAGGAATTTTTTGAAGCCAGTGTCGAGGAGAGGGTGTAAAATTAGTAGAGAAATTGATAAATCGCTTGAGAAAACAGTATTAAGGAGGTCAGTTATGAGTGTGTATGCAAACAAGGAGGAAAGTTGTGTAGATAAAAGAATTATTTTAGCTCGGGAAAGGCTTTCTGCGTGTGAAACTGTGTGTGTGTGTAAATATTTTTGCCAATTTATGATTTTTATCACTTTGCAAAGATTTGACAAAAACAAGAGCTACCAACGTATCTTTCTCTATTTTGTAGCAATTTTCATTTACTTTGTGCTGATGAAAAATGGGGAAAAGGGGGGATGGAGAAAAAAGGTAAATGATAGAGGAGAGTCTATTTTTGTGACCAATAGATTTGGAGAATTGTAGTTGTTGGCGAGTGGCGATAAAATGAATGAAAAGCAGATAATTTTAGTAGTTCTGCATCTTCTCTCTGTAATTTTTTTTGCCCCTCCCAATGATATATTTTTATATGAAGTCAGTCATTGCGTATAAACTTGTAGTACTGTTTAGAAACAATTAAAAAAAAATAGGAGTCTTAAGAGAATAAAATGAGGAGTTTTACATAGAAAAAAATTATGCTCTTTATTTTCTATACCTATTCACTCACAGCCAGTCTTTAGTTCTTTTTCTACGCTTAGAAGTAGTGAAAATTTCGAGGTGTTACTGACATTCGTGAGTGAAGTGTGTTGAGCGGAATAGGAAAGCGCCTAAAGAGAGGCAAAATTGATGACCAACCCACTCAAAATTCGTACGATCATGAATGTAAACTGTAAATATAGGATTCATTATTGAATTTCTTAATCCAGATGAAGCATTTAATTGTTAATACATGGCTAAATAGTAAGAAAGCACGTAATGTTAGGAAATGGAGTAGTGATGACATACCAAGTGAGAGATAACATTAATATTCTTGTCCTCCATGTATAGTTTTTGGTGTGTGATAAGCAAATATTTATAGAGGAAAATGACAAAAAAAACAAACCACTAATTCTACATTCACATTCAAAACACCATCATTTGTAACCACTCTGAGAATGTAAGGAGAAAATCTACTGATCATCCTTAATAACTAGAAAAAGCACTAAAAATCTTTCATGTAATCTGTGTGTGTGTTTGTAATCCTTGATAAAGAGATTTGTGACATAGCGAAACACAATTTTGTGTAGATGACAAAGAGAAAACTTACTTTTCCCTCAGAAATGCGAAAAACCTCCGAGATTGTTCGGTTTCAGCCATTTTTCCCAGGTCAAATTTCAGAAATATAATTTTATGCCAAAAGTGCTCAAGCGCTTTGGAATCAAACGCCTTTTCTCAATGTTTTCCGATAACAAGAATTTTCCAGAAAAAAAAATTTGTAGAATTTTCACAACGTGATGAACTATTTAACTCTCCAAAGTATGAGAGCATAATTTCCGTTAAATATTTATAGAAATTTCTTGTAAAATCAATGGAAAGCACAAGTTTTGAGATATGGAGAAAAAGTGAAAATAAAAAGTCTGTAAATAGCATAAAATATATATACATATATATATTTACCTTATGAAAAAAAAACAATTAGAATTAAAAAAAAAATGAAAAAATTGTATAATTAGCAATTAGAGTTTCAAAACACAAGCAAGAAAACAGTAAAAAATAATAATTGTAGGAGAACAACAAACGGTGTCCTTTTATTTTCGTCTAAAATATCGCATCACAACAAAGCGGGTTTCGCGCATTCACTTGCGCACTCACTTCATTGTCTCGACAATCGAAGAAAGTTCCTTTGTCGTCTTGCCAAAACAACATCTCCACACATTTCACTGAATGAAACCATTTTTCGAGATTTAAAGTGACAAATGTTTGTCACGCGACAATTTACAGATGTTGCTTTAGAGGCGCGCATAGATGGAAATGGACAAGAATCACTTGTGCGCATTTGCCTGAAATCCCCGGGAGATACAAGATCAATACCAAATGGTAAATGCCCGCACTCAATCGCGCTGTTCGTCAGAATGTAGGGCGCGATCGTGAAAGCCATCCGCACAAAATTCCTGCGTGATTCCACGTGAAGTTGAATTCGAAGATGTGAACGTGTGTTAAACGCACACAGTGAAAGATATATATATATATATAAATTCAGGGGGTGCGAAGTCGCCATGCAATCCAACAGTTCAATCAAGGGGGAGACAATTACCAAATGTGCGGAATTCCTCAATAAGTCTTGCGAGAGCCTTTGTGTTTGCACCGGAATTAAGGATTGTAGAGATTGGAGGGCAAAAAGCGATAGGAAGAGAATACACACAATGGTCTAATTTCGATGTTTAGAACACGATTAGTGACTTCCAATCGCGATATTTGCCCCTTGAAGTAAATATTCACGTGATCATCAGTCGTTGTCCCCTCGAATTGAGTGTGTCTGACACAGCATTCCCTCGGCGCGCGGCTTCTGAGCGCGTCGTTCTCTCAGTTGGAAAAGACACTCGCTCAAAGATCGATGCAGCAGCTGCGTTCGTACAAGTGCAATTTATTTTCATTTACAGCATTGCATAAATATTGTGTCGTGCTCGTGCAAAATGGTGCAATTTAGCTGAGTGTCTCAGTTTTTTCCACAGTGCGGCACAAAATGCAAAAGCAACTGATTGACCTCAAAACCCCTTAAAGACGTCCTAACATGTCCATATGGTAACGGAAAAAGTCCCTTTAGAAGCGCCGCTGAGGGCAGACGTGAGAGCACAAGTGTAGATTCAGCAGTGAACGAAAGAGGCAATTTGTAATTAAAATTGTCGAAAATGTGGTTAAATGTGCTGTAATGTGGATTAAAAATAAAATTCACTTTCATAAATATTTATCCATTTGATCGTGCAAAGTCCGCCATATGCAGGTCTGTCGCGATTGCGATCGTGTGACGTGATTTGTGCGTGTGGGTGTTTTCCCGCGAGGAGAAAGTCGTCACACTGGGTCTTACGACACATCTTGAGATCATGTGATCTCCAGTTCGGGCCTTTTGTGGAAGGAAGGATCAACACATACATTTAGCGTGGCAAATATTTGAAAAATGTCCGGCAGCGGATCTCCGATTGCCGGCTACGAGGCGCCGGACATCTCGCCGGCGCGCAAGCAGGCTGCCAGGCGCCTCCTGAAGCTCTCCATCCCCAAACTCCAGCCCACGGGCAGTCCGCAGCTCGGCCGGATATCCGCCCGGCCGCGCAACCCAGAGACGTTCGTCGTGTCCAGTCCGCCTGTGCGCGCCGGTCAGCAGACGCCAGTGACGCCAATCCACACAGCGGATGTCGTTAGTGTTTCCTCGGCGGGATCTTCGCCAGGCGCCAGATGCAGCCCACGCTCCTTCCCGCGCTTTGTCAGCTTCACAGCCGCCGATGAGGTGAGTGTCCATCGATTTGCGCTTCTTGGAAATCTCCAAAGCACGCTCTCTCATTTCCTATCATTGACTGGCACTTCAATGGCACCCACTTTCAGCCAGGCAATTATATGCTAATGCAAAGCAATCAGAGGCCGCGCAAATAGAATATTCCCCATGGGGAAATCCTTACGGCGATTGTCCTTCTTTGTCATGGCGGCAATTGTCGGAGTAGACGCTCTGATTGTGAATCAGATCAAAGAGATAAGTTTTCAATACAAAATTCAGAATTTTTTCATCTCTCGGGAAGCGATAATGTTTAAGAAAATTTTACGTAATTCGATAAGGCCACGATGATAAGAGTGAGAGAGACAGTGATAACAATATTGTGAGTCAATGTTAAAAATATTATTGAGATTCTGCACAATTATTCTCATCCAATTTGCTGATTACTCAGTGGAGTTTTTTTTTTGGTGTTAAATTACACTGGTGAACAGGCAGATATCCACCTGAATCCAGTAAAGATGCTTGAGTCACATTCTCGGCATTCTCACGAATTACTGGGCGTGAATAGTTTTTGTATCTATATTGAAATATTTGTGATCGCGTCACCTCGAGAGAGTGTTTGTTGCTCATATGATTGGGGAAGCTCTATCGGAAAATAATCATCTTGAAGGTAGTGTTTGGTTTATATGAGGCAATAACCTATGGGAATTCCTGTCGGATGGATGATCCATCCCGAAATTAATAAATACACACACTGTAATCTTCGGGACCACATCGAAGATCATTAAGTTTTAATCACCTATCATAATGAAATTATATTTGCCAGAGAAATTTTCTGGGAATCTTCACACTTTCTGAGCAAATATACGTCAGTAATACTCTTTGCCAAGTCACAATTCACAACGATCGTGCCTGAAA